TGTGATTAGTATTGCCATAATGCAACCCTGCTGCGAGGTTGCAAAATGTAGACGCGTAAAAAACATACCTTTGAGTGTGACAAAATGTAGACGGCGTCGTTTTCCAATTTTGTATGGGAAACAACAACACCACAGATTTTACGGTTAGAAAACGTCTTAAAATGTAGACGTCTACATTTTGAGACACTACTTGGAACGAACTGTGAACACCCCAAATGTAAAATTTTTGGATAGTTTTGCAAAATATGTACTAAAGACACAAAGCAGTGTCGCTATAGCCTAGATCAAAAAACCTTAAAGTCACGTCTGACTCGTTTGTGCGGTTTGTTGATTTCGATCTTATACATATGTACATACTGCTGGAAACACACACAAGTCTATCACAGATTCCGAGTGAACTCCCGTCGTGAAAAAATCACGAATTCGGGAGAAATGCTATCAGCAATTCCGACGCATTCGTAGCTAGTGATGGCTTTGGTTGTTGTTTGTTCTTATGTTTTGGTTTAATAATTCTAAATCAAAATAAAATAACGCGAAATCAGTGACACCATTCACACGAATTTCGAATTTGCGGGAGAATTTCGATTTCCCGATATGACAACGTCTGGATCTCCGACGGAATTCATGATAGGTCGGACAATATAAATATTCACATATTCTCATACATATCACTGCAAGATTGTCTTAATCCAAAAAATAAAAAACTCGAGAAAAAGGGCTTTATAGTTTACTGTTTGCATACGCTCCCATAGTAAGGCGGCCTTGAATTTCAGAAGAAGAGAGTCATAAAAAGTTCACCAAAAATGTGTGTCGAAAACAAACAAAAACAGTCAACTGATAGCGTTTCTGCATAGCTTTTGCCCGCGCCGCTGAAACAGTCGCAATGGCCGAGTGGCCAAAGCATTAAACTGCCGCTCGAGAGATACGCACATACTGGTATCCTGTCCTGCATACGCAGCAGGACATACATACTTGTTTTAGATACATTTAGAGGCACTGAAGTAAAATCGAGGTGCTAACGAATTAATATCGCTCATTTGCTGCAAGAGTGTCATAATCCAAACATAATTTTTTTTAGTTAAGAAGGATGCAGAAATTATCACCACCTCTTCTTCTATGTTGTGTAAAAATTGCACAGCTGTAATGATTAACAACAGCTCATTAGAAGAAAATGTGTCTTAATTCTTAGGGCCAATTTCAAATGAATATTTAAACGGCACTTAAGTTTAATTGTGGATTGTTACCATTTACCTTTCGTTGGGTTTCAGATCAACTTTGTTTAAAAATGCCCAAACAATTGGCAGCACTGCTGCTTGTTCCTTGAAATTGTTGTTGCATTTGCTTGTTTGTTTACATTAGGTTTGTTCGTCGAGCAAAAAATTTGTACGAATTATCATGATTTTTGCTCAAATCGCGTACGTGCAGACCGAAAAATTATCCGTCACTCAAAAGCTGAGAGCGCAAAGTGACAGTTCTCCTGAGAGAAGTTGCAAATTCTTGCTGGAAAAATTTTAGCCAGCAAGAATTTGCAATCACGAAAAACATGTGGCACATGGTTGCATTTTTGTCGACGATACTTTGAATAAATAAGTTCGTTAAATTTAAAAATTTATAAACACGAGCGATTTTTTATGAAAAAAGGAAGTAAGTACTTGTTGATATAATTAATTAAGTTAATTCGAATGATTTAAACTTAACTCGGCTGAAAAAAATTGTATTCGCAATCGGAATCGATTTAAGAAACCCGACAGCTAGTACCATAAAGAAATTGAAATGTTAAAGAATTTCAGGGAAACAAGAAATATACATGTAAGTATATCCTGTTTTTGTCCATCTGAAAGTATTTTAAAAATTCTATAAAAATTTATTATGTTTGAAATTCAACCGTGAACACCAGCTGGCAAATTTGTGTTCGTGCAGAAATTTGCAAGCTTCTCACATCAGAGAGCATTTGAGAGAATTTTTTCTTTTTCTTTCTTTATTTATTTTGAGTGTTGGATAATTCTTGCTGGATTTTCGGCGAACAAACCTATTTTGTGCTGAACAGCTGCATGTTTTTTGGCGGGATTTGGTAGGATTGATTAAGCAACCTACCATTCAATCTTGGTTGTTTGGTAGAAACACAGGGTACGATCAGAAGATCAAATGCAACCCTGCCATGTATTTTGTTGTTGCTGAGGAACATAAAATGTCAAACGAGAAATCTCAAATTACACCAATGTAAACAAGTTTGACAATTCAGAAAATAACCATTTTGCATACAAATGCAATGCATTAAAATAAATAAAATATAATTTATAAAAATTGAACAGTATTATGTGCTTGTACCATGAAACAAACTGAAATGCTGGCCCGTAGTGAACGTCTTTTGCCACATATTTCCGATTTCATAATAATTTTAAGTGGAGTGGTTGTGGAAACATAATCCCAACGCAATTAATAACTATCGTCACTGCTTAACAAATTACGTTAATATTGAAATTCGTGCTACCACCGTTGAAGGATGATTCAATAAAAATTTATAAACTGATGCTCACAGTGCTAAAGATAACTGAAATTCCTCTACCGCAACTCTACGAAGAGATTATCTGATTATATGAAGTGATCTATTAAACGGATTTATATGTGTTAATGTGCTCTTGCTAATGCATACTGCCTAGTAGCAAGGAACGAAAACTGCGTCTACTGGATGAAGATAATCATCTGGCAGATAGTGAGTTTTTAGTCGGTGATCCAGCTTCCGAAGAACCGCTTCTCTTTCGCTGTCATAAGATGATTTTGGGGACTGCGTCTGAAGTCTTTGAACCTTTGAACATATTAAATGCTAATCATATGAAACGACTGGTAATATTTCAAACACAGCATGTATGATACCATATCTACAAAATAGATTTTACAACAACTTGCATGTCCAGAATGTACTTAAATTATGGAGGGAGAAATTTTCCACCCTATTGAATGGCAGCAGCACTGAAAGTAGTGGAGAAGATGAACCCGAGCCCCCAGTCGATGACGATGTAGTCGATGTCCCACCGCCTAACTATGACGAGGTAGGAATAGCGATTACGCGGCTGAAAAACAAAGCTGACGGCCTGCCAGCCGAGCTATTCAGCTCTTATGCAGATATGGTCAGAAGAACGCATGCCCGACGGCTGGAATTTAAGTGTGCCCTGCCCAATCAACAAAAAAGGCGACCTGCCAAATACCGCGGGATCAGCCTTCTAAGCAAAGGTTATAAGGTGTTATCGAGTGTATTGTGTCGTCAACGAACTGATTGGACCTTATCAGTGTGGCTTTAGGCCTGGAAAGTCCACCATAGATCAGGGCCCTTACTCTGTAGTTCGATTCGAAAAAAAATTTGTTCGCTTTCGAACGATTGGTACTCTGAAAGCACCTTTCGAGTAACATTCGTTCGATGTTTGAATTCCATTCTGTTCCCTTCGAATTTTCTTTATCCCCTTTCGAATTTTCGAAAATTTGGTACTCCCTGCATCGAAAGCAAATGTCAAAATGGTGGAATTGTAGAAAATTCTATTCGACAGCAACCAAGCACTCGGACGTCCGCAAAAATGTAAGTAATTGCAATAATATTTGTGAAAATGTGTATTTATTTAATCAAAAAATAATTTTTAGGACAACGAAAATCAAACAACCAAATACCAAGCCTCGACAATTTGAAATATTGGTAAATTTTATGATGGAACACAGCGATTTGGCGAAAGGTCAAATTAAGGGTTTAGCTGCAAAGCAAACCTCTAATAATCTGTGGAAGAGGCTAGAAAATGAGCTTAATTCATGCGGACCTCCAACTCATAACTTCACTGAATGGTAAAAGGTAACAAATTTATTATGTTTTTGTGAACCATATTGTAAAACGTTATAATTTTTTTTTATGTAGATATGGGCAGATTATACAAGCAATATTAAGGCGAAGTTGCGAAGGAATAAGGAGAGCATGTCGGGAACAGGAGGTGGACCATCGAGATTCTGTTCATTAACTGCGACGGAAGAACAAGTGGTTGCGTTACTGAACATAGATGAATCTATAAATGGCGAGACTGAAACAATGCGCTTTGGTGCTACTACCTTCGGCGATCCTGCATCATCTAGCCCACTTGACTGTATAAACTTGGAGCCTGAAGAATATCCAAGTAATGATGCAGAGAATCAGCCACCGAATGCTATCCCCACTACGCCACCGATTGTTATTGCACCCCCGAATCGCGCACGCTCACTACCACTCGGCAAAGACAATTTGCTAAAACTGCAAGTGGAAAACCAATGCCAATATCACGAAAATTCGATGAAAAAGCTGGACGAAGTATGTGATAATTTAAATAGTTTAAGTAGATATTTTAAAGCAATGTTGAGCTCGAAGAGGCTAAACTTCAATTAAAACGAGAAAAATTTGAATTTTTCAAAAAAAATGAAAAAAAGAAAAGAAAACTGAAATTAAAAGCACTGAAGCTAAAAGCTAAACTTTGTAAATAGTTGATTTAAGTGTAGTTATTTTTACGAATTCATATTTTATAAGTTTTTTGTTCCTTTGAAGACTGATGAATTGTTTTTTAAGTTATTTATTTTTTAAATAGCAGATTAAGGTACAGAAGTTGCTAGTTGTATTAATCAAAAATAATGAATATTTTTTATTTTTATGATAATTTCAAATCCAAGCAATCAATGAATTAGTTGTATGTAATTTTTTGTTGAATTGTTACCTGTGAATGAAAAAGCTAATGAATATTTTTACATTTTTTTTATATACCAATGAAACTAAACTATATTTTGTGTCTTAGGTTCCTGAAATGTTTTACATATGTAATTTTATAAAATGAAGACTGAAAAAATACTTTTATTTTATTTATTTATTGTTGATATTTTTACAATATTCGCAATGTTTTTAATTCTGAAACTTTTTTAATACATTTTTTAAAAAAGTAATGCTGATTATCTAACAGAAATCATAGAAATCTAAGTTGTAAACTTGTGTCAAAATTAGGAAAATATCAACAAATTTTCATACAAATAGCCAACTTTTTTTACTAAAATTACTTGAAAAAATTTGGCCTGTTAAACTTAAATATAATGTGAAAGTTCGAAGTCCATAAAAAATTCCGCTGATTTTTGATAACTTTCTTTGCGGTGTTGTGCATTTTCTTCCATATAAAAAAATATACTTTGTATGGAAAAAAATGTCCAAGACCGTCAGCAAAGAAAGTTATCAAAAATCAACGGAATTTTTTATGGACTTAGAACTTCCACATTATATTTAAGTTTAACAGGCCAAATTTTTGTCAAGAAATTCTAGTAAAAAAGTTGGCAATTTGTATGAAAATTTGTTGATATTTCCTAATTTTGGCACAAGTTTACAACTTAGATTTATACGATTTTTTTAGATAATCAGCTATACTATTTTAAAATATTTACAAAAAAGTTTCAGAATTAAAAACATTGCGAATATTGTTAAAATATCACTTTATGATTTGATTTTGAGCTACTATGTATACACACACTTGAATTAATAAAATATTTTGCTACACCTATGCAATTAAACTGTTTCTTATTTCATCTCTTAAGTTCCTAGAAATATTTGCTGTACTACTGTCCGCTTCCACCATATACACAGTTTCTAATAAATGTACATCTTCTGTGGGAAAAACTTCTGAAGGTTGCAGCTCAGCTTTAAATTGCAGACAAATGTTGTGCAAAGCGCAGCAAACGTTCATTATAGCTGAAACCTTTTGCGGAGTATAATGCAGCTCGCGTGCTGCCAAAAGACATCGAAACCTTCCTTTCAATATTCCAAATACTCGTTCGATGATTGACCGTCCTTTGGCATGGCAGTGATTAAACCGGCCTTCCGCTGAATTTTCGGCGGCATTACGATAGGGAGTTAACATCCATGGTTCCAATGGATATCCTGAGTCGCCTTAAATAATTTGAATGCAATTATTAATATATTATCGTTATTAAAGTATTAATTGATGCTAACCAAGACTCCATATCCCTCTCTCGCCATTATCAAAACGAGCTTTTAAAGCCCTTCTCTCACTGGACAGGTTCCATACATGGGAATCATGGCATGCACCACCGTATCGCGCGTCAACAGCTCTAATTCTCATCTTGTGGTCACACATCTAAGAATTTTAATTTGAAAAATTGTTGTTGAAAACCTTCATGATAATGCAATACTTACAACCATTGCATTCATACTGTGCTTCAGTTTTCATTGTAGTACAAATGCTCATTCCTTGTTGGTCTTATCATTTGTATATGTGTGCCATCTATTGCAAACAACACGCCCGGAATGCCACACTTTTCATAGAAGTATAATTTCGCCTCTGTTTCCTCTGCGTCCGTACTTGCAAAATTAATGTGTAGTTGGCAAAGCGTTTTCTCAATGGCTTTGCACACTTCAATAAGGCAGCGTGAATTGACTGCTGAGAAAGGCCTACGTGTTGGTCTTGGCCAATTTGGTGTTGGTAACCTCCTTGCCCCAATAATTTCGTTGCGGCGGCCAGCTTAATAATGGGCGGAATTGCTGTGGATTTTCGAGGAGTACTTAACTCCGGCGTAATGGCATTTAGCACGTACCGAAACGCTTGCTTGTTTAGGCGGAAATTTTGCGTAAAACTGTAAAGAGATAATTATAAATACATAAAATATAAATAGTCACAAATAAAGCAATCCTTTTACCATTTATCATTGAGAGTGAATATGTTGGCCTTATCCCTAAGCGCTCTCAATTGCACTCGTTCCGCCACTTGGCCTTCATCTGCTTCCAACCATATCGCCACTGGATCCATTTGGTAATTTTTTTTATCAAGGACTTTCACTAATATTAAATATATTTAACACAACAATTACTGAGTTCTTAAGTGCACAAACTTCACAATCGAAATGTTAGCAATTTCATCTTGTTTTGATTTTAGTTTCTTTCTTTATTTTGCTTTGCGTTTGACATTTGGCGAACAGTGTTGCTCTCTTTTTTCGAATATCTTCGAAAGTTGATTCGAAGAACTATGGAGTACGAATGTGGCTTCGATTCGAATTTGGCTTTCGAATAGAACAACCTTTCGACTCGAACTACAGAGTAAGGGCCCAGGTATTCACAATACGCCAAATCTTGGAAAAGGCCCGCGAGAATAGGAGCGACACACCATCTATTTGTCGATTTCAAAGCCGCTTTCGACAGCACGAAGAGAAGTTGTCTTTATACCGCGATGTCTGAATTTGGTATCCCCGCGAAATTTAATACGGCTATGTAAAATGACTTTGAGCAATTCCATCAGCTTTGTCAAAACCAATTTGTTTGACACCAAACGAGGTTTCCTCCCTTTCGTCTAATATCTTTAATCTGATGTTGGAGAAGATAATAAGAACTGCAGAATTTAACCGCTCAAGCACAATACTTAACAAGAGCGTACAATTACTGGCGTCTGCCGACGACATCGATATTATCGGTAAAAACAAGGGCTACGTCTGTCCTGCCTTTCGGGATTAGATAAAGAAGCAAATCGAATGGGTCTGGTGGTAAAAGAGGACAAAACGAAGTATCTCCTGTCATCACACAAACAGTCAGAGCATAGGCGACTTGGCACACACGTCACTGTTGACAGTTACAAGTTTGAAAAAGTTGATGACTCGGTTTTTTTTGGGAACCAGCATTAACACCAATAAGAATGACAGCCTTGAAATCCAACGTTGAAGTACTCTTGCCAACAAGTGCTACTTTGGACTGAGTAGGCAATTGAGAAGTAAAGTCCTGTATCGTCGTACAAAGTTCACTCTATATAAGTCACTCATCATGCCTTTGCGGCTCTTGGAGTTTTCGAGAGAAAGATTCTGCGAAAGATTTACGGACCTTTACGCGTTGGCGATGGCGAATACCGCAGGCGATTTAACGATGAGCTGTATGAGCTTTACAGCGATATAGACATAGTGCAGCGAATTAAAATTCAGCGGCTCTGCTGGCTTGGCCATGTCGTTCGAATGGAAAGAAATGCTCCTGCTCTGAAAGTATTTAACGGGGGCCGCGATGCTGGCAACAGAGGAAGAGGAGGGTCTCCTCTGCGTTGGAAAGACCAGGTGGAGAAGGACTTGGCTTCAATTGGCTTTTCCTATTGGCGAAAGTTGGCATAGAAGAGAAATGACTGGCGTGCTGTTTTGGACTCGGCCAAAATCACTTAGGCGGTTACAGCGCCAATAAAGAGCAATTCCTAAGACTAATAGATGCGGTCTGTCAACTAGATTTTAAAAAACTATCAAGAGCGGATTTCGGAACGGGGCCTGCTGTGTCATTTGTTTAATATACATTACAGTTTTATACATATGTACTTGTATGAAGGTTTGCATACTATTCATGTGTATGCTTACATAGATACTTATTTATACCTACTGATATACACAGACACCCACATGAAAATTACTAATTAGTATTGCTTTTCTTAAACACGTTGAAAAGGCAGTAGCTGCCTTGTTCACAGATAACATTTGAAACATTTTCACCAGTATAAAGTAATATTTATGTTTTATTTATTTGTTTTACAATAAAACATCTACACAATGTAAATTTGTACTTACAGATAAGTGATGTACATCTAGTAAACGCAAACCCTCAAAGCTCCAGTAGCATGTCGATACAGTTATTTACTAGTTCATTAGTATGGCAAAATTATTAAAAAGTAACTTATTTTAACTAATAAAGACAAGTTTTGCCACAAATGTGTAAAGTAGAATTAATGAGTAATTTTCTTATTTTACTGTGTATAATGCAATAAGATCTAGATCTATACGTGCATGCATGTTATGTATATTTAAACATTTCAATATATTTTTAAAATGGGACCCATTGTGATTACGGCTTGGAGAGTTGCCCATCGAACTTAAGAACGGCGAGTGTGCGCAGTTGAAGAAGGCAAGAATACTACAAGGCCGCAGGGCCTAACTTTAGTCGTAAGAATTTCAGGAAATTCTGATTGCTGTAGCGAAGCAGTGCGCTGCTATCGATATCTTCACGTAAAAATTACTCTGTTGCCTCAGAGTTTCTCAAAACACATTGCACAAATGCGCACGAGTCTTTTGTGGTCCTGAGTAGAAGATTTCGCTTGATGCGTTGTTCTGGTGGTTGTGGTTGCTTCTATTTTAGTTGTGGCGGTAGTTCTTGCGCAGGCCTGGTAGTGACCAGAAATGGTAGAGTTCTGAACTGAACTTGCTCAGTGAAGAACTCCAATTGTGATACGAAATAACGCATCTGCAACCAAAATAGAAATTTGCATACATACATATCATTAATTTCATCAAACATTTAAGCTATAGTCTCACCTGTTTGAAATCCCAAGTACCAACAAGCGTTGCCTTGGATTTTAATTTAATGAAATTATTGCCCGGTTTACACTTTCAGGCGCGATTCTTTGAGGGGTGATGATGTCGGTGTACTGATGAATTTCTCATCTTTGCTGTCACTAACCGACCGGTGTTGCTACCTCGCCAGTAGGTGGTGAAACAATGTTGACAGAAAACCATTTCGTTTGGTTCCAAGGCACGTACACGTACATATATTCTAGCGCATCGCCATGCAGCACATCTGCATCTCCTTCCAGCACATCGCCATCGCCCTTGGCGTGAGCGACACTCATAGCGTCAACCACTTCCGATTCTGCTTCCCCTGACTCTGGTTCTTCTACTTCATGTTCATCTGTAGCTATTTCCGAACACCCTGTTTCCACACAACACCTGCGGGTTTGATGTATTCAGCCATTCAACAGAATCCTGCTCGACGTTGACTGTTTTTTTTTTCAGATTTTTGGCATTTCTTGCTGAAAAATAATTCAGGAGTGGATAATACATAATTAAATAAACATTTTAAAGATATTTTTTTTGCAAACTTACCTAAAATATATTTTCGGAGCCTGTACCTAAACTCCTTCGGCTTAGGGTGATCGTTTAATCCTCCATTGCTTCGTATGTTCCCGAAGAAGTGCTGCAGCAAATCTTGATTTAGACGCCGTGTGACAACTCAGTTGAAGTTGTACTTTACTACCACATACTCGTACAACTGTAACAGTGCGTCATTCGTTACCAAAACTCTTCTTTGAAACTGTTGATGCAATTTTTACGAGGGATGACAACATCTGACATGAAATTATTCATCCGCACCAAAATCTGGAGCTGCTGCTGCATCTTCCGTCCAAATGGGACCTTCAAGTAAATTATATGGAGACAATACATTTATTTTTAATTTGTTAACTTAATGAAATATTACCTTTCCAGGATAGTTTAACATTTTAACGGAGGAAATGAGCACGCCGTACCAATCATTCACCAACTGAATTAGTTCAGCTGTCTTAATCGCTTGTTTGCAGTCGTGTTAGAAATCAACTGTGTCGCCAATTTTATATTTTGTTTGCCTGAAAGTTTTGCGTCAATTACATTAGCTACGAGATTACATAATAGTTATTATTAACATACCTATCCCTTTTACAGCTAAGTGCTCTTCTGTTAACTTGAATGTTATGGATAGGTCGGATACAGATGTGAACCCCATAACATCAACGATTGCGCGCGTGGTTAATGTACCGTCTTTCCAAACGAATCCAGTATCAATAAAATTATTTCGGATGAGCTTCAATAGATCCGAAACATCCGCAATTGCGAAAACCTTCGCCTCCGGGTCAATAGGGTTGGTGAACCATGGGTGTTCTAATTAATTGTTAATTAGCTATGTATTAGTGAATTAAATGTATAACTGGAGTGATACCGAAGTCTCTCCAAAGCTTTTGGGGCGATGGGCCCATATCCCAGACCATCGCAAGAACAGGGAAGCCAGCGTTTTGCACAGCCGAAATAATCGTATGTTCGACGGTTATTTTACAATCAAAATCGTAAAATACTGGTTGCTTCCAGGATTTAAATAATCGGGGCGCCATAACCACTTGAACATAATTTGCGGGCTTCCTGACGAAGTCGTCGGTAGGCTTCATCTCATCGAAAGCCAGCACACACACTTTTTTAACGGCAGTGAGCTCGTGAATTTGGCGCATTAACTGCCATACCTAAACAAAAGCGTTGGGCGGAGCGGTTTCTGACGCTTAGCGTTAGCGCCGAAGTGCCATACCTAAACAAAAGCGTCAACGCTACGTCAAATGCAGAAATAACACCAACAATAAGCATAGGTTTGTTTGTGTGTAACACGAAAATGACAGTTTCGCCCTTTTCTGCAGCCAACTTCAATACCTAACGCCCTGTCGACATCGGATTTTCCAACCGCTCAGCGTTGACGCCGCGTTGTTTCGGTATGCTTCATACAAATTGTAAGGGCATGAGAATTTTTTGACAGCCAGACAACGCTGACGCTTTTGTTTAGGTATGGCAGTAAGTCCAATGCAACGGATAACTTTCCTTCACCAACACATCTAACGTTTTTGTCTACAAAACAAATAAAATCTTATAGCAAATTTACAGAATTTTGTTCAACGTTATACATACCTTTTGCAATTATTTTTCTAACCTATCCGTCTGTGAATATGGACCGAATGAAAGACATCAAAAATGCATTTTCGTCTAGCTGGGCTTTACGTTTTGTTGCGGCCCGCTTGCCTTTAGCATGTTCGATGTATCTATTTAATGTTTAAGGGCCGGTTGTTCAATGTCTGGTTATCATTACTTGCCCGTTAAACATCATTATCGACGATTTCGACATCATGCATATAGCATGTGATCGATAAAGCAGTCGTTGTTTCTAACCGGAGCTTCTACCTCCGATTTGTGCTAATCAGACATTGAACAACCGGCCCTAAGTGTTGTCAAAGTAACCCCTGCATACGGTATGATCTGCATATTTACGTTCTCTTTGGCCACATCTTCGTATGTACTTACATTTGTGTGTACGCAAACGTCCTAACTCCTATTTATGCACTTCAAACCGTTTTGCAGTATTTATCATTTTTGTTCGTTCCTCCGTTAAACGGAGTATATTCTATGTTACACATATACATATGTACATTCNTTCAAACCCTTTTTCAGTATTTATCATTGTTTTCGTTCCTCCGTTAAACGGAGTATATTCTATGTTACACATATACATATGTACATCTGTTTAGTGAAAATGTAAATGCTTGTTGCCTTTGTTCGCTAACCGCAATGTGCCAACCGCTATTTCTCCTTTGTATATACATATGTATGTACATAGTTTGCCAAATTTGGTACATTCGCTCACAAGTTAAGAACATTAGTTCAATCGTCGATCATTGGAGAAAAGCGATGGACACACTGCGGTAAGTATTACCTATTTGTACATTTGCATATGCTAAAATAACTTCTTAACCTTTAGAAATAAACCGAATCTGAACTGAAGTCGAGTTAAGCAGACACAATTAAAGCGTTTTATTTGGATTCGCGTTAAATTCGCCAGCGGAATCGACGACATCTGTATTTCGCAGTGTGTCTGCCATATACTTGGAACTGCAAATTTTATTTGGAAGTTAATTGCCATTGCCAACTCGCTGCTTAGTTGCAGCAATATTACATCGCTGAAGGTTACATGGGCAAATCACCTCGTCGAAGCCCCCGATTAAATAACGAAATGGAAAGTAAGGATTCAGGTTCGAATCCGGCCACGTCGAAAAGTGCCAGAACGAAAATCACCGGCGATGGAATCGCCACCAAAGCTACAAGCACAGCCAGTGCCACGCAATCCGCCATTACCGTCGAAGGCGCAGCCAGCGCCTCAAAAGCCGCCTCCACTACCGCCGGAGCAATTAGCCGTAACTCTCCAACGCCTGCGCCACCAACATCCTCTGCTCGTCAAGTGGTCATGATGCAGGCTATGCAAAAGCGTATCACCATGCTAGAAAATACCCTGAAAGCAGCCGAAGCATAGCTGAGGGATCACGAATTCCAAACTGAAGCTGATAATGCGCACACGACCGGGGCTTCAAATCCCCAATTTCCCACAACGCATTGTCAAGTAGCGCCGTCGCCGGAACTACAATTACCGACGGTGTCTATCGGCAATCCGCTTCCAGTAACGTCATTTGCAGATAGCCGCCAATCGCCGTTGCATCTCGTAGCATCGGCGCATGCTCAAAACGTTCAGTACGTCACATCTAATGGCATGCCATTGCCACACAATACATATGCGTATTCGGCCACACCTAACAGTTATGTCATTTCTGTGAACTGAATGGCGTCCGCTCACGCCAACGTGGGTCCTGTAGCAACACAGTCGTCTTACTTGCCTAGGCAAATGCAGGCCTTGCCGGATTTCTGTGGCAAAGCAGAAGACTGGCCGATATTCTACACTGCGTTCACAGAATCCACTGCAGTCTATGATGTCGAGTCAGTACGAGACTCCAGACGCCGTGTCGTACTGCACACACCGCCGAGTCGCACCGTCATGTGAGATGCCCAATATGCCAGAGTCCACACTAGCTAGCCGAGTGCAGAACGTTCATCGATCTCACTGTGCCGAACAGGTGGACCGAAATAAAGAAACGCCGCCTGTGTTTCTCATGCCTTAACGCCGGACATGGAACTTGTAATTGCCAACGGCAAAAGCCATGTGCCACAGAAGGGTGCGCAAGAATGCACCATAAATTACTCCACGAAAGCGGATGTAGGGCCAACAATGTGGCCGCACAGATTCACCATCGTAATATGAGCATGCCAATAGCCGAACGCTCCTCGCATACTCAAGGTTCATTGTATTTACAACCACCAAGTGATGCGGATGCTGCAGTTCTCAGTTGCAGTCGCGGTTCCTCTGACAGCAAGCTATTGTTTAGAATTTTGCCAGTCGTGTTGTACAACAAACATAAGCGCTTCGAAACATATGCCCTAATGGACGATGGTTCGTCGATCACAATGATCGACAATACTCTTTTGCAGGAATTGGGTGTGCATGGCAGTGAACATCAACTGAATTTGTAATGGTTCGCAGGGCGCGCGGCGCAGGAACCAGCCGTGGTAGTAGACTTGTTGGTCAGCGGAGCTGGCATGCAGAAGCGATATAAATTGCGAAGAGTTTATGGAGTATCGAATTTGCAGCTGCCATCGCAAAGCCTAAGTAAAGCGGAGTTGAGCTGTGATGACACTCACGTAAGTAAGTTGCCAATACAAACATACTCACAGGTCCGCCCTAAGTTGTTGATCGGGCTGGATCATTGCCATCTTGGTTTACCCTCGTCCACTTTGAAAATGAATATGAATGGTCCGTTTGCAACGAGCACTGAGTTAGGTTGGGTGGTGTATGGCCCAACTACAAACAAACAACGGTCGTTGCCGACATGCTTGCATGTGAACAGTCAGAGTGATCAGTCATTGCATAACTTAATGGCTGATTACTTTGACACAGAAAGCTTTGGGATAAGGCCAACACCCGCCATCGAAAGTGAGGCTGATGCTCGTGCGAAGAGAATTCTCGAGAAGACTACATTCCTCGTCAATGGGAGATTTCAGACGGGTCTTTTGTGGAAGCATGACAAGGTTGAGCTCCCTGATAGCTATCCCATGGCGCTGCGGAGGCTTAGAGGTATTGAAAAGAAAATGAGTCGCGTTGGTGCGTTCGCTGATGAATATAAACGCATCATAGAGTCCTACATAGCTAAGGGTTATGCGCGTAAGCTGTCACCAGCAGATGCTGCCTTGTCGTCGTCGAAAACCTGGTACTTGCCACACTTCTCCGTTGCAAACCCTAATAAGAAGGGCAAGTTGCGATTGGTTTTTGACGCAGCTGCTGAGGTGGGGGGTACTTCACTCAATACGCATCTACTAAAGGGACCACAGGACTAAAAGTCGTTGCCGTCCATTCTCTTCCACTTCCGCGAAGGTGCAGTTGCGGTGTGTGCGGACGTGAGAGAAATGTTCCACCAAATATTGGTGCGGCGGCAAGATAGATGCGCTCAACGATTTCTGTGGCGAGGAGGTGATGCTACGAGGAAGCCAGAAGTCTTCGAGATGTGCGTAATGACATTTGGTGCTGCATGTTCGCCATGTTCTGCACACTACGTCAAAACCGTCAACGCGTTAGAACACCGGAATGGAAACGCCGTCGTAAACCGTGCAGTAAAATCCATATTAGACCATCACTATGTGGACAACATGTTTGATAGCTTCGGTACAGTACAAGAAACTATCGCCGTTTCGCAGGCAATGCGCGATATACACTTGAACGCTGGATTCGAGCTTAGAAATTTTTCGTGAAACTCGCAGAAGGTAATAAAAGAGCTGGATGGTGACGAGGGCAAGCGATCTAACTCGAAGAAGGAGGGCTTGTTGGTGGAAATAGTCCTCGGACTATTTTGGCAGCCCTCAACCGATTGCTTTGGGTTCAAGCTAAAATTTCATAACGTGGACGCAGCGGTTGTATATGGGTCGAGGCATCCTACCAAGAGAGAGCTCCTCAGCATCGTGATGTCCATTTTTGACCCTTTAAGGTTTTTAAGTAACTTTGTAATCGGAGCTAAATTGATTATGCGCGAGGTGTGGAGGCACGACATTCGTTGGGATGAGCCGTTGCCGACTAGCATCAACGAAGCATGGGATAAGTGGCGAAATTAGCTGGTGACTGTCGTAGAGTATACTATTCCGCGGTTCTATTCTCGCATGGGTATGCCGAAAACGCTACAGCTTCACGAGTTTGTCGACGCAAGTGAGGTAGCCTTCGCCGCCGTCGCCTATTGGAGGTCTAAAAGTTCCAGTGACGGGATCGAAGTGGCGTTCATTTCCGCGAAGTCAAAGTGCGCTCCAATAAAGTCATTAACTGTGCCTCGACTTGAACTCCAAGCGGCCGGGCTCGGGACTCGCCTAATGAACAGTATACGAGAGGAGCATTCTCTAGACGTGAACCAGTGTACTTTGTGGAGCGATTCCAAGACAGTGGTCAGGTGGATTAGGAGCGAACATCGTCGCTACAAACCGTTCGTTCAGCACAGGATAGCGGAAATATTGGCCGCTACCAACTCATCAAACTGGAAGTGGTTACCAACTGAACTCAATGTCGCCGACGAAGCTACACGCGCGAACAATCGCCTTGATTTCCGAGCAACAGCCCGTTGGTCATGTGGTCCGACATTTTTGCATCAGCCGCAGCAGTATTGGCCTAACAACAACACCGTGGTACCCAGCGAAGACGAGCATGATGAANCGCAGCAGTATTGGCCTAACGACAACACCGTGGTACCCAGCGAAGACGAGCATGATGAAGAACTACGCCCTAAATACGCTCTGGTAATCGTTAACTATAATATAATTGATTTTAAACGTTTTTCTTCCTTGACAAAACTGGTGAGAGTTGCAGCCTGGGTATTGCGCTTTATGGACACTTGCCGTCTCCGTGTTCAGGCAGACAGTCGATATGGGTTGACTGCGCGAGAAGTCGAACTTGCCAAGAAGCTATTGTGCCGCCTTGTTCAACGGGAGGTATTCGCTGCAGAACTTCAGCAGATACAGAACGGCCAAAATATCGCACGTAACAGCGCGCTGCTACAGCTCTCGCCATATATAGACGAAGATGGTGTGCTCCGCGTGAATGGTCGCATCGACGCCGCCAGCTGGCTGCCCATAAGCTCTAAACACCCCATCATATTTCCGCCAAAGCACTACTTCGCGAAACTGGTTGTGATGCACTACCATAAAGTTATGCGGCACCAGAATACTGAGGCTACAATATGCCAGATACGACGCCTCTATTGGATCCCACAACTACGAACTTTGCTACGCAGCGTAATCACGCACTGTTTGGAGTGCCGCTTGAGAAAGGTACAGCCTGAACCGCCTCAAATGGCGCCGCTACAAATTAACAGGCCCACGCCGTATATAAGGTCATTTAGCTATACGGGACTAGACTGCACGGGACTAGGTGCACTTAGAGCTGGCCCATGATTTGAGCACTGACTCATGCATTGTTGCTCTACGAAACTTTATGAATCGTCGTGGTGTGCCTATACGTCTACGTTCCGATAATGGTAAGAACTTTGTCGGCACAAAAAGGGAAGCCAAACGTTTCCGTGAGGTGTTCGACTGCAGCCGCATTCAAGATGAGCTAACCCGCAAGGGAGTTGAGTGGATATTTAATTCCCCGTTTAACCCATCGGAAGGAGGCGTCTGAGAGAGATTAGTGCAATGCGTCAAAAGGGTGTTACGCCAAACCTTGAAGGAGACAGCGCCTAAGGAGCACACGCTCAACTGCTTCCTGATTGAGGCGGAAAACATCGTAAACTCCCGGCCTCTGACGCATTTGCCTATATCCGTCGACCAAGAGCAGCCCCTTACACCTAACAATTTTCTTCTGGGTGAGCCGAACGATGCACATACGCCAACCGCAGAGAGCGTACTAGAGAAGATTTTCGTACTACGTCAGCAATGGAGAATCGCCCGCCAGTTGAGGAACCACTTTTGGAAGTGGTGGATAACCGAATATTTGCCAACATTGACCCGTCGAGTCAAGTGGTGTCAACCAGGGAAGCCTATACAAGAAGGGGACCTAGTTTTTATATGCGACCCTAACGTACCAAGACGTGAATGGTGCCGTGGAAAGGTAGAGCGTGTCTACCCTGGGCATGATGGTGAGATTAGGCGAGTCAACGTCCGAACAGCTGGTGGTGTAAAGCAGAGAGCAGTATCCAAGCTGGCGATCCTGGACACTGAATGTGGTGAATCGGGCTGATTCACGGGGCCCGGGATGTTGCGGCCCGCTTGCCTTTAGCATGTTCGATGTATCTATTTAATGTTTAAGTGTTGTCAAAGTAACCCATGCATACGGTATGATCTGCATATTTACGTTTTCTTTTCGTATGTACTTACATTTGTGTGTATGCAAACGTCGTAACTCCTATTTATGCACTTCAAACCGTTTTGCAGTATTTATCATTGTTTTCGTTCCTCCGTTAAACGGAGTATATTCTATGTTATACATATACATATGTAAATCTGTTTAGTGAAAATGTAAATGCTTGTTGCCTTTGTTCGCTAACCGCAATGTGCCAACCGCTATTTCTCCTTTGTATATACATATGTATGTACATAGTTTGGAAAATTTGGTACATTCGCTCACAAGTTAAGAACATTAGTTCAGTCGTCGATCATTGGAGAAAAGCGAAGGACACACTGCGGTAAGTATTACCTATTTGTACATTTGCATATGCTGAAAATAACTTCTTAACCTTTAGATATAAACCGAATCTGAACTGATGTCGAGGAAAGCAGACACAATTAAAGCGTTTTATTTGGATTCGCGTTAAATTCGCCAGCGGAATTGACGACACGTTTTGCGTTCTTCTCAAGCAACTGCTAATTTTGCGCTGTCAAATTGGCAATCTCCAGGTCCATTGTACACTGAAGAAGCCTGTGCCATCTATTGCATATTAGGGCTGCAAAACTATCGATGGCACCTATTCAACTATCAATTGATAGTCCGGACCAGGGTTGTTGCGAATATTCGCATGCTCACGTGAGAAAAAAATTTATTTTAAAAATCTTTAGAAAAACCTGACACATCTGGTTTGGCTTGTAAGCATCCGCGGATGTTAGCTGTTTGATATTCGCATCCGCTCATGTCTGAAATTCCACATTTGCAGTCTTGACTATCGACTATCGTCGCATTTTTGTATCACAAAATTCTTGGAAAATTCCAGAAAGTAAATTTTATTAGTTCTTGAAAAGCCCTATGATTCTTCTGCAGGTATGGATTTTGAAAGTAAGTAATAATTGTATTCAACAATTTTATTGAGCTTGAGGCCGTTTTTGAATGAAAATGGTGTGTAATAATTCTCCAATGAAATGACTAATTTAAAATACTATTTTATTTAATATAATAATATATAGGAATTAATAACATGCGCACAACGGAAGAGAAGGATGAGGCGTCAAAGGATCTCTTCTATGAGCGCTTGGAACGTACATATGAGCGCTGCTCCCGACACGATGTCAAAATCGTGCTTGGCGATTTTAATGCCAAGGTGGGAAAGGAAGGGATCTTTGGCGCCACTGTCTTAAAATTCAGCCTCCACGACGAAACGTCCGATAACGGACTGAGGCTGATCGACTTCGCCGGGGCCCGAAACATGCTAATATGTAGTACTAGGTTCCAGCATAAGAACATCCACCAAGCTACATAGCTGTCTCCAGATCGAAAAACGAGAAACCAAATCGATCATGTTGTGATATACGGAAGGCATGCTTCAAGCAGTTTTAGACGTACGTACACTCCGAGGGCCAAACATCGACTCGGGCCACTATCTTGTTGTAGCCAAGATACGCACCCGCCTCTGTGCAGCAAAAACTGTGCGCCCAACAATGCAAGGAAAGCTTAACGTCGAAAAGCTGCAATCACAACAGACGGCCAATTTATTCGCCACTCGACTCACACACCTGCTCTCTGAGAGCACTCTTCAACAATCCGACATACACGAGCAGTGGAACCACATTTCCCGATCATTAACTACCGCCGCCGAAGAAGTAGTTGGATTTCAGCGAGCCCGAATGAACAAGTGGTACGATGAGGAATGTCAAGAAGCCGCAGAGAAAAAATATGCCGCCTACAGGGCCACGCCGCGATCGGGCGCAACGCGAGCCATGTGGGACCGTTATAGGGAACTGAAGAAGGAAGCGAGACGTATTTGCCGGAATAAGAAAAGAGAGGCCGAAATACGTGAGTGCGAAGAGCTTGAGATGCTGGCCGACAAGAAGAACGCCCGAAAATTCTACCAGAGGGTTAGGCGACTTACGGAAGGTTTCAAGACCGGGGCGAACTCCTGTAA